AGTCCATCTCCCCCCCACCTCTAGGAGACCCCACCAAGGGGGCAGCCGAACGGAGGCATGTCTCAAGGCATGAAATGGACCAAGATTCCAGGTGACGTTCTGTCCAATTAATGTGAGGATTATGCTTCTCCAACCACTCGAAGCCAAGCACCAGAGGGGAGCATGCAGAAGGAAAAACAAAAAATGTTATTGTCTCTCGGTGGTTACCTGACAGAAGTAGCTCGAGGGGCTGAGTTTGATGGGTAACTTGGTGAAGTCTCTTTCCGTCAATAGCAGAAACACTAAGAGGTTGAGTCAGAGGAATGGTTTCAATTTGGAGTTGTTGGACGAGGTTTGAATCGATTAAGTTCCGTTCACAGCCTGAATCGATGAATGCAGAAAAGGAGAGGCTTTGGTTAGAACAAAACAACGTGGCAGGAAGCAACAATCAAGGAGATTTCTTAGTGTTAATTTGGCCCACCAGACTCCTCAGATCATCTGGCGGGCCCAGGCTTTTGATTTAGCCGGGCAGGTAGCGATGAAGTGTCCACTCTCACCACAGTAAATGCATAATTTGCTTAGAAAACGTCTTTGTCTCTCCTCTGGGGTGAGCCTCGTGTGTCCCACCTGCATGGGTTCAACATCTCTTTCGCCCAAATGAGAGGCCTGAATAGGCAGAGGTAGAGACTGGGACTTAGGTCTCTGTATGGGCAGCTGCTCTGTAGAGGAAGAACAAACAGTCACGTTATGTGAGGCAGGAGAAAGTGTCCCCTGCTTTTTAGTACTGTTTCTGGCACGGATTCTATTGTCCAATCTGATCGTGAGACGAATTAAATCTTCGAGGGTAGCTGGTTCGTCGAGGGTTGCAAGCTCATCTTTAATGTGCTCATTTAAAGCCATGAAATAGACTCCCTTCAGAGCGCTTTGGTTCCATCCGGAAGCTGCCGCTTTAACCCGGAAGATGATGGAGAATTCAGCCACAGAAGAATGTCCCTGCTTTAGATTGAAAAGAGCTTGAGAGTCAATGGTTTGATCAGTCTCTTGGTTGAATACCTGAGTAAATTCAGAGAGGAAATCAGAGTAATAGCAGTTAAGGCTATCGTCGGTGGCAAATCTTGCCTGAGCCCACTCCAAGGCTCTTCCTGTTAGCTGAGAAAGGATGAAGGTTATCTTTTTGTAGTCCGTGGAAAAGCTGCCTGGAGAGTTCTGAAAAATCAAACGACACTGAAATAAAAATCCTTTGCAATCTTTCATGTTACCAGAAAACTTTTCTGGAAGACTTGGGCGGAACTCGGATGACGTCACTGCTGGTGACCTCGGAGGTGGAACTGGACCCGGAAATGGTTGTGGTGCAGCATTAGCGCTGTTCAGATAGTTAGCATAGCTCTGTAGCATATGGTTATGAGTATCAACCAGGCGGTATAACTCATGGAGCGTTTGGGTTTGTCCTTGAATTTGGGCATCCTGCTCCTCCAATCGACGGGTGAGGTGATCTGCTGGGCCTTGAGTTTGGCCGCAGTGTTATGTCATGATGGGTTCTCAAAGAGCGACCCAAGTATGCAGAACACCACTGACGGACACAGGAATAAAAGTTTAACAAGTTTATTTTGCTACAAGCACACAGAATGTACTGGTTCTGGCTAGGGCCTGGATACTGGTTCACCAGAGTCTGCGTGAGAGACAGTTCAGTTAGCTTTGCAAGTTGGAGCTTGATTTCTTGATGATTACTGATTGTACCTTGAGGGTTCTTGAAGTTAGCTTTGGGAGAGTCACTGTTGGATCTGGAGAGGAGTTGATCAGCAGAGTCCGCTTGCTGCTTCAGTGTCTCACGTCTAATAATGAACAGACCTTGGCTTTGGGTTTTCCAGCTCTTAGTCCTGAGCTGCATGGAAGTTCTCTATGGTTCTTCGGGTTTGGCTCTGAGGGTCGGCTCGGCAGGTTAGCTCTTCCTGAGCTTCACAGAGGAGACACTGGTTTCCTGTAAGACAGAGACAACGGTTAGAATCCAGGCTGGATTCAAAGTAACAAAGTAACACTGAGAGTCTAGGCTTAGGCGCTGACCAACTGGATCAACACTGAGGCGTTGAGGCAAGGTCTGAAGACAGCTTATACAGGTGCTGGTCATAAAATTAGAATATCATGAAAAAGTAGATTGATTTCAGTAATTCCATTTAAAAAGTGAAACTTGTATATTATATTCATACATTACATACAAACTCATATATTTCAGATGTTTATTTTGTTTAATTTTGATGATTACAAATGACAACAAATGAAAATCTCAAATTCATCATATCAGAAAATTAGAATATTACTGAAGACCAATAAAAACAAAGGATTTATAGAAATGTTGGCCAACTGAAAAGTATGAACATGAAAAGTATGAGCATGTACAGCACTCAGTATTTAGTTGGGCCTCCTTTGGCCTGTATTACTGCAGCAATGCGGCGTGGCATGGAGTCGATCAGTCTGTGGCACTGCTAAGGTGTTATGATAGCCCAGGTTGCTCTAATAGTGGCTTTTAGCTCTTCTGAATTGTTGGGTCTGGTGTATTGCATCTTCTTCTTCACAATACCCCATAGATTTTCTATGGGGTTAAGGTCAGGAGAGTTTGCTGGCCAATTAAGAACAGGGATACCATGGTCCTTCAACCAGGTACTGGTAGCTTTGGCACTGTGTGCAGGTGCCAAGTCCTGTTGGAAAATGAAATCTGCATCTCCAAAAAGTTGGTCAGCTGCAGGAAGCATGAAGTGCTCTAAAACTTCCTGGTATGTGGCTGCGTTGACCCTGGACCTCAGAAAACACAATGGACCAACACCAGCAGATGACATGGCACCCCAAACCATCACTGACTGTGGAAACTTTACACTGGACTTCAAGCAACGTGGATGAAGTGCCTCTCTTCTTTTCCTCCAGACTCTGGGACCTTGATTTCCAAAGGAAATGCAAAATTTACTTTCATCAGAGAACATGACTTTGGACCACTCACCAGCAGTCCAGTCCTGTTTCTCTTTAGCCCAGGCAAGACGCTTCTGACGCTGTCTGTGGTTCAAGAGTGGCTTGACACAAGGAATGCGACAGCAGAAACCCATGTCTTTCATACGTCTGTGTGTGGTGGTTCTTGAAGCACTCACTCCAGCTGCAGTCCACTCTTTGTGAATCTCCCCCACATTTTTGAATGGGTTTTGTTTCACAATCCTCTCCAGGGTGCGGTTATCTCTCTTGCTTGTACACTTTTTTCGACCACATCTTTTCCTTCCCTTCGCCTCTCTATTAATGTGCTTGGACACTGAGCTCTGTGAACAGCCAGCCTCTTTAGCGATGACCTTTTGTGTCTTGCCCTCCTTGTGCAAGGTGTCGATGGTCGTCTTTTGGACAACTGTCAAGTCAGCAGTCTTCCCCATGATTGTGTAGCCTATAGAACTAGACTGAAAGACCATTTAAAGGCTTTTGCAGGTGGTTTGAGTTAATTAGCTGATTAGAGTGTGGCACCAGGGGCCATCAATTTTGAACCTTTTCACAATATTCTAATTTTCTGATATGATGAATTTGAGATTTTCATTTGTTGTCATTTGTAATCATCAAAATTAAACAAAATAAACATCTGAAATATATGAGTTTGTATGTAATGTATGAATATAATATACAAGTTTCACTTTTTAAATGGAATTACTGAAATCAATCTACTTTTTCATGATATTCTAATTTTATGACCAGCACCTGTATAGTGGATCCTCTGATGATCTTGATGGGCTGCAGCTGTGCAGGAGGCGGGGCTATTTTCCCCCAGTCTATGCATTTCTCATAGGCTTCGAGAGCGGACCTCCTCAAGGGAGAAAGACGCTCATACACTGGGTGACGCTAGTGCCTTTTCTTTAAGCCCCACCACCAACAAACAAGTTGAGTGTCTGGTAACTAGTAGCAACCTGAAATACGCTGAGAAAACAGATTACTGAGGTGAAATGGAATCTGCTACGGCACTCTTGCCGTCTGTGTACGCCACAGGTCGGTATCGTGTGTGTGTGTGTGTGTGTGTGGATGGGTGGGTGCTTGTGTGTGTGTTCTCATTTTTGTTAAGAGGCTGAAAAGTAACTTTCTAGAGCATAGACTACCTCCATCTAGTGATGTCGGTCTATTGATTTTGATGTATTGATTGAAAATTGTTCATTATTACCTTGGTTAATTAACATCTAATGTTAACTCTACTAAATTTTATAGCTGTAGGGTAAAATGCTTGTCTTTGTTCAAAAGACTGTATTAACTGTAAAGACTGTCTTTTACATCAGCCTGTTTTCAGGGCCTTTTTTTTGGCTACATATTTGTTATTTTTGGCATAAATCAGTATCTGTGACCTGTTTTCATTTTAAAAAATGAACATTGGCACAAACCTAGCCTGTATGTATTTTTTTGTATGTCATCGAGAGTATTTAAATGATTTTCAATCAGGAAAAAAATGTGTGATTAAAATGCGATTAATCGCGAGTTAACTCAGGCATTGATGCGATTAATCGCGATTAAAAAATTTTATCGATTGACAGCACTAATATATATATATATATATATATATATATATATATATATATATATATATATATATATATATATATTGTGAGTATATAAAGAATTGTAAGACTGAAAGGTCTTTGTCAATTATTTATTATTTAATTCTCTGCAGTTTGAAGCCAGCTCTGTTTCAAGAGCTCATCTAGAACCTCTGGAGTCAATTTCACAAACAAGAATTATTCTTAATACATAGAAAATAATTAATAACAATGACTGTCCACTTCAAAGGACTGTTAAACTCCAACAGTGTCATAAGTCAAAGACGTCTCCAGATCCAGTAAAAGACTCACCGCTACAAAAGATCCTTCCTGCCTACAGATATTAACATCTACAACAACTCACTGTAAAATAAATATTTATTTTCCTTTGGGATTAAAAAGCTGTTTTTTTTATTTAATTGAAGTATTGTTCATGTTTCTAATTTACTTTTATATCTTTTGTATATCTACCGATCATAGGAACGTCTCCTGCTGTCCATTCTTCCAAAGCATATAGCTGATGAGATGCTTCAGGATATGAAGAAGGAGCCCAGTCAAAAAGAAATGCAACAGTTCAACACCATGTACATGTACAGGCATGAAAATGTCAGGTAACTTGGCCCTATGTTGCACTAAGTCTGTCTAAAGTGAGGTGTCTGGTAGCCACATTTAATCATTATTTAACGATCTCCAAAGAAAACCCCTGCAAAAATAGCAGGTTATGCCTTTTCTGATTAATTACTTGGTGAATTATTGTATAACAAAGTTATGTCATCTACTCCTCCTATCATACCCCTCATCTTTCAGAATTGGCTATTTCGTGGCAGCTTGATATCAGGAGCCTCTGTTCCACCTTATGTTTCCCTCTTGAACCTGAAACAATGCAATACTGAGAAGTAAAATCTTAGCACTTAAAATTAGAGGAAATTTAAGCTGTTGTGTGCATTAATAAAGTCTCATTTAAGAAAGGAGACAGAATAGTTGATTTATCTACATGTTTTAAAAATATATATTAAAAATGAACAAAACCAGTAATTGGTATGCTTTATATGCTGATTAGTGATAGATTAGTGATTAGTGTTAGCTTTTTAAGAACAGGATTATTATTTGTTCGTTTACTAGGCTTTCCACAGTGGTATCTTTGATCTGAAGTACAGTAGTACTAATTAGTATCAGTTAAAGGCTCTTTAGGAAGGAAGGACTGAAGAATTGTCAATCAAGGGTGAGAAACTGTATGTTTTGGAGAGAGTTGAAGGTGTACCAATCAGAACAAAATCTGTTTTATTGTTAGTAAGTTTGAGATAATTGAACACAAACCATAATCATCAAGGCCATCTAGGCAACTGTAAAGGGAGGGAGGTGGAAAGAAGGAGTTAGGTTTGCCAGAGAGATAGAGCTGGGTGTCATCCACGTAGCCATGAAAATAAAAATGTTATGTTTCAGCAAAATCTTATGAAGAGGGGTGATGTAGTTGATAAAAAGAAAGATACTGAGGACTGAGCCCTCAAGGACACCTGAAGTGATAAAAATTTTTTGAGCTGAATGACTGTGACCAGAAATATATGTTTTAAATTAGTAGCGTGAGGTACAGGTGCTGCCAAAAGATGATAATCTATCGAGGAGGCTAAAGTTTGATAGGATCTTTAGTTCAAGGAGGATGGAAAGGAGATCGGAATCCGCTGCAATAAGGAGGTTTTTAGTAAATTCTATGAGTGCAGATTTAGTGCTGTGACAAGGTTAGAAACCAGACTGGAATTGTTCATAAAGGTTATTGTGGATTAGGTAAGTGTCAAGTTGTGAGGTAACTACTTACAAGTATTTTAGAAATAAAGGACTCATTTTTTTATTTTTAGAATTGGTGTTATAGCAGTTTTAAAGAATATTGGGACAATCTCAGTGGTCACTCAAGAGTGAATGATAGTTGTGATGAGGGGTAGGAGGGAGGGAAGGCAAGCTTTCAGCAGGGGGGTAGCGAGAGGGTTTAGTTGACAGAAAAAGGATTTGGAATTGTTTATTAGTCCTGACATAAGTGAAGGAGTAAGGAGTTCAAAACTGGAGAGATGCGTAAGTAATTAAAATTGGAATTTTTTTTTAAACAAAAGATTTTTCTCACCCCAAGTCAGAAGGCATGTTCATACTTCTTACTTCCCCCCTGATTGATTATGGATATACCGTAAATCCTCTAATACAGCTCCTTTATTTCACTCAGGTACATCTTGGTCCAGGCCATTAATGGAAGGAGGCCAGAACCTATAAAATACTAGGTTAATTTATTAAAAAAGCACAGTTACCATAACAGTATACAGAACATTATTCAGACATCTTCCAGCAGCTGCAAATGTTCTGCATGGTAATACGGAAAAAAAAGACACAGAATGGAATCTTGGCCAAACTGACAAGCGAAACAAAGTTTAAAAAAAAAAAAATGTATGGAAACTGTTCTGCCATCACAGCGAAATTTTATTTGTGGTGCTAAGTGGAAGTAGGCTACCAGTATCATATATTTCAAGAGAAATTCAGAACAACGAAGGCCAACAAAATTCTGTAATTTTAATGCTGTCTGGTTACCACCAGACCTACCGGTAATCACATTTGTCTTTCAGATCAGAACGATTGTGTAAGGCCACTACGATCTCTGTGTAAGGATGGGACTTCCCATGCTAATGGCTTGGATTCATTAGCAAACATTCTTCTTCTACTTCTTCTTCTTCTTTATGGGATTTTATTAGAGATTACCGCCACCAACTGGTATGGAGTGTTGGTCTGAATGGCTACTACCTACTTATACTGAACAAAACCAAATCAACAAAACAAAAACCAACAAAACCAAAAGATTCAAATCCTCTCAATTACATTGATTAATCTAAGATGATGAAAAATAATTACATGACACTTATCTTTTGAGTTCTTTCTAAGGATTTCTGTTAGCAAACATCATCCCCTGTGGTACTTGTATGTTACTACCACAAGTTGTTGAGGACTGCCCAGAAACATCATTTGTTCTAATTATAGCCCTGGCCTGTATACGAGCCCGGCCAGTTTTTACCTCCGTAGACAGAAATCCCGGCCAATATTAGAGACCCAGCCGCTAATGGAATACAGGCCAATATTAGAGGATTTACGGTAATCTATTCATAAATGCCTCGTCTAACATAAAAACAAAACAAAAAATACTGGATGCCGTAATCATTGTGCCCGGTGTTTCGTGAATAAGTGTGCCTATCAAACACATCAGAAATTGCGTGCTATAGCAAAACCTCTTTAACAGATCCAAAAGTCACTGATCAGTCTTTTTGTATAAACATATTCTCGAGCATCTTCCTATATACTTAAGCTTAATTTTGTCTAAAACATTTCACCATTATGGCCTGCACTGTAAGGAAAATATGGTGATGTAGGTCCCAAAAGGTAGAGTTCAAAGCTGTGGAAACGTTTTTAAATGTCCTGTGCCTTCAACCGGGTATTACATACTGAATGATGTAGAGTTATCATTTTTTGCTACTTATGGGCAATTCAAATCAGTTCTAATGGACATTAGATTAGGGGTGCCCAAAGTCCAGTCTATGAGCAATGTCATCCTGAAGCATCTAGATGCATCCCTTCTCTAACAGACATGAATCCAAAAACCAACTTGTCACCAGGCGTAGGCTGAGCTGATGGAATTTAGGAGTTAAATTCAGGTGTGATAGAGAAGAGTTGCATCTAACAGTTGCAGCTTGATAGTTATTAAGTTCTGGACCAAAGCACCCACATTTTAGATACTCTGGCATCTGTAACTAATATTCATATGTAATTGTGTGATACTTTTTGAATAAGTGTATTATGTACCTGGTTTTGTTGTTTTATGTTCTTTTTGTTTTGTTTGTAATTAATATAAAGGATACATAGATACAATAGCTCTACAAGAATAGTTTAAAAGATGTGAGAGGATGTTCTGAATATCATATTATTTGGTGTTATGCTCTTGCAAATATAACAAAATGCTGTAATAATGTGCTTTTTTTTATGTCTTTTGTTGTCATCTAGTATTTTGTTTGCAGACATTGTGGGTTTTACCCAGCTGTCGTCATCTTGCAGTGCCCAAGAGCTGGTGAAACTTCTCAATGAGCTCTTTGCTCGCTTTGACAAGTTGGCTTCAGTAAGTTTCATGGTTTAAAATAACTATTTAGGGGTGGGTATAATTTATTATCAATGTTTAACATAAGAACAGAATCCCCGTTTACATCAAGATATCTGGAGCAAACCTTTGTATTGATGCTTTCTTGTCAAACTGTTAATCTGAAGCACAAATGGCATCACAAGCTTTGGTCCACTGTGAGTATTCAAGTGTAGAAATCATCTCAGTTTAGCTCATGTTGCGGTGCACAGACATTTGCAACACTGTCAGTGTCCACATTGCAGTAGAAAGTCTCCAGCGAGCCCACATCAGACCAGATTATGAGTTTAGAGCTAACATAAGTAAGTCAACATAAGATGCTTTTTAAGATTTAATACAGTGGGAGGGATGCTAGGGGAAGCAGGTTTGACCCCTCAGGAATATGAGTTTCTACATATTTTTACTGCACTCCACCATATTTTATCTTTTTTTCATATGTAAACTTAATACCTGGGAAATATTTGTGGAAAGGGTCAAATGGAGGTGACTGGTGTTTTAAAACCATTCGAAACTTAATTGGTCTCACATGTTGAGACTATTGGCGACCTTGAGCGCTCAGCCAACTCTCACAAAGAAGTGATAGCTAACCTGCAAGCCGCCATTTGCAAGCTGACTGCCATCATCGATGATTAAACCAAAAAAATTTGAAGATTTGGAATCACTTTCGAGAAGGAAGAATATCCGTAGTCTTTGTCTTCCTGAAGGGCCCTAGAGTTCTCAGCCCACTGCGATCAAATCCCAGTTATACAAGAAATACTGGGTCTCAACGAGAAACTAACTGTGGATCGGGACACACCGTGCTCTGCGTGAGGGACCCCCGGATGACAAACCCCCTCAAGCACTTGTTGTTTGAATCTTTCTGTGTCATGTATGAACAAGATTCTGAGATGGGCACCTCATTCTTCTCTTCTCTGTTAAATGGACAGGATGATCTCGATTTTTCCTGACTTCCCCCCAGCGGTGGCCAAAAATCGTTCTGCATTCTCACTGTGGAAAAAGGCTCTTTATCCTTATCCCAATGTGAAGTGCAGGCTCCGTTACCAGGCAACTCTACGCATCACTCTACTGAATGGAGAGATGCACTCCTTCGGGGACCAGATAAGGGAACAATAAAAAGGGCCACACTGGCTCCACTGAATGAGTGCTATGCTGCTCTAAATGAGGGAATGGCCATTCGGATGGAGTGACTTGTTGGTTTGGTCATCTTTTTCTTTATTCCGAGGTGTTTTTTTTGTCCCGTGTTTACCTATGGTTAACTATAATTAACCCAATATGGTTCTGCTTAAGTATCACTCTATGTAAAATTTCGATGGACTTTGATTTGCTTCTTGTCACATCTTTCTGTCTTCTATTGCTCAAGCAGCATGTGGCGGTGGTGTATAAGGCGTTATAGTTACAGTATAAAGCCCAATAACTTAACTGAACTCAAAACTTGGTGAAACTGATTACATTAAATATTTTAAGTAACCAAGACTAGCAAATAAAAGTTACATACATAATATTTAATAGGTCGGGGTAATTATTTTTAACTTATCTGATACAGTTTTTCATATTAAATTTGTTATTTTAGTTATTCTTTATTCATCATTTTTAGTTTAATTTACGAATTTTAATCAAGCATACAATACTTACATTTTCTTACTGCTATAAGGAAAAATATGTTGCTATAAAAAGCAATTAAACGTTGTGAACAGGACAGGCAATATAAATGAAGGTTAAAGTTTTATTAACTTCAGAAGACATCTTGTCAAACAAAATGTCTTATAACATCCATGTTTCATGCAGCCAAGGACATAAGTGTAATGGAAGAAAGACTTGAAATCTTTGTACAGAACTGACAAAAATATTATTGGGACACACAAATTATATAACATAAATTAAAATCTATTTTCCTTCGAAGAAAATGTCTGTGAAGCTCAAAGTACTCCACCAAACGCAAAAAAATTCTAACTTAGCAAAAGCCAACAATATTAGCAACAAAGAATTTTAGAAAAATGTAATGGTATTTGGAGAGGATAAACAACAGACTTTTATTTAAAAAAATAAATAAATTCAAATACTGGATCAGCATATACAATAAATTAATATTGGGATCCTTTTAATATGCTTATCAATGGTTCTATAAAAAGATTAAAGGATCACTGTGAAACCAATTTCTAGAACCATTTTGTAACAAACACAGCAATAACATTTTGTTAAATATCCACTTAGAAACATTAGAAGTCCAGAACTGTTTATAAAACAAAATAAATAAGTAAAACACTAAAAACCTCAAAACAAGCACCTGAGCACCTGAAGAGCTGAGTCAGAACATCAGATACTTTCCCTGCGCAAGGAGCTCTCTTCTGAAATAAGCTATGGAGCTGGGGGGAATGTTGGTCTAACGGCGCATAAAACTGGCTATTAACACTAGAAAGCCCAGAGAAACGAGTATTTTCATCAGCCTCCAGTCCCCCCAACAGTACTTCACAACTCATGAATCCCTTTTAAGCGCTTTGATTTGAGAACCATTACACCCCCTTCAGTTTCGGTTTTAGCTCAAGCCACTCTGTTGACAAGTGTTTTACCTGTGATTAGGGGGGAACAAATCATATTTGTAATTAAAAACTAGGTCTACGTCATCAGTGTCACCAACACCGTAATTATTCAGACAGCGGAGCCACCCGTAGTGATCAGACGACACCTGATCTGTAAAATGAAAATAGCTGCATTAGCTGGAATGCTGTAGAGAGGGAAAGAAAGAATATTTATAAAGTAATGACGATTTGCCCGATATAGAGGAGCGACACCATCGTGAGAGTGCTGTAAAGTTGGCAATATATTCACAGATTCAGCATTTTCGGATTAATAACTCGGCGGCGGATGATTTATTCTACAAAACAGACATCTCTCCGCAACCACATCAAGGCAGACAGTGAGCTACAAGCATATTTCCCTCAAAACAAGTCTCCTATTGCACTGGGAGAATTACATTGGACCCTATGCAGAGCTCGCTCCTCTGCAAATGCTTAGGGACTGTCTGCAAGTTGCAACACCATAGTAAAAAAAATCTGAGAGAAATATTCAAAAGCATCACCCAGGGGGATTATTATCAAATAATTTAATGTATATCTTATCTCATGTCTTTCATACCACAGTTATTGGACTAAAAAATAATAATTTTTTGAGGAATTTCCCAAATGGTAGATGACCTGTACTTATAGCGCTTTTTCAAGTCAGGAGACTTGACCAAAGAGCTTTACACTACATTCAGTCATTCACCCATTCACGCACACGCTCACGATGGCAAGCTACATTGTAGCCACAGCTGCCCTGGGGTTCACTGAAAGAAGCGAGGCTGCCATACACTGCCGCCACCAGGCCCTGTGAGCACCATCAGTACACAATGCACGTGAAGTGTCTTGCCCAAGGACACAACAACACTGAAAGTCGGAGCCAGGGCTTGAACCGTCAATCCTTCTATTTCAGGGCAAACTCCTTCATCCGACACCACTGTCGCCCTTGTCTCGCCCTTTTCATATCATTCAACATTTCAGCTTAGAAAATGACACAGTATGACTTCAGTACTGGATTAACGTTTATTTCACCCAAGGAAAAGAACTACATATGAAGCTACAATTGTCCCATTTAGCAGTTTGTTACAAACCCAAGATGAGTCTTTCCTGCATGGAAACCAATGAGTCAAGAAAGGGTAGTTTATTGTCCTCGGCATCCTCTCTGGTGAATTTGATGTTATGGTCAACAGAGTTGATGTGTCTTGTTAAAGCTTCCACTTCCTTTAGCAGGATTTTTTACGAATGTGTCATCCACCTATCTAAACCAGTGATTTGGTGTTAACGACAATTCCCCCTTTAACGACGCAACCTTCAGAATCATAGACAGGTTTCACATATTACAGGCTAACAATGGAACCAAACAACCCACTCAGCGGTTGCCATTTGCATGTTACCAAGCAATACAAGGCCTTGTCTCTATAAAGACTCAAACTCAGACATTTGAATTGAGAAAGCTTCCTGGAGAGGTAGCGAAACGTCTTCAAAACTTGGAAACCAAGTCCAGTGGATTTTTTTGTTAAACTTTTACGGAATAACTATGACCTGGATGACTAAGAATCTTCATCAGCATCAGAGATGGGAAGTAACGAAGTACAAATACTTTGTTACTGTACTCAAGTAGATTTTTCTGATATTTTTACTTTACTGTACTACTTATTTTTATGGCAACTTTTTACTTCTACTCCTTACATTTTTACACAAATATCTGTACTTTCTACTCCTTACATTTTAAACAATTGGCTCGTTACTTTAGTTTTGAATAATTTCAATGGAGTTACCGTTATTAATTTTCACGTCATCAATACCAAATTCAATCTAATTGGATGGGAATCTACGTTGCAATTGACGCACCACTACAAGATGAATCGACAGATTCGCCGGTATTCATTCGCGGCAAATCATTGCAGCTTGGTGGCGGTGGCGTTAGCATAGTAGTATGGACGACGAGATGATTGAAAATGAACACAACGGAGATCTAGTCCTATTGGCAGATATCCATTTAAAATGTAGGCAACGGCATGAAAAAAGTGGTTTCTACTTTTACTTTTATACTTTAAGTAAATTTACAAGCCTGTACTTTGTTACTTTTACCTGAGTAAAGAAGTTTAATCAGTACTTCCACTTTTACCAGAGTATTTTTTAACACAAGTATCTGTACTTTTACTCAAGTACGGAAAGTGAGTACTTTTTCCATCTCTGATTCAGCATACATTTCAAAATATTTTCTCCAACTAACTCTAATTGGCTTATTTATTAGCATGTGGCTTACTCTGAAAGCAATAATAATCCTACCAGTGTCTGATCCAAATAAATCTTTGTAAATCAACATTATATGTTGTCTAACTCATCGTATTATTTAGTTCCGACAGCCGAAACATTGAAAAGCTGTCTTTGATGTCAGCTTAAATCATCTCATGTACCAGCATT